AGGCTTAAGTGATTCTCTTGCCTCAGCCTCCCAAGTAGCTGGGACTACAGGTGCCCACCAAAACACCTAGCTATTTCTTGGCTATAGAAATCATTGCTGTCTGGCAGGCCCAGGCTGGGCTCAAACCTGCCAGCCTCGATGTATGTGGCTGGCACCATAATCACTGTGTTTGGGTGCCAAGCTGTGTCTTCATCTTCTTAAGACTCACTCATGACTGCCTTTCACAGAGGTGACTTGAGCCCTGTGGAGCTGAGGTTGGCCCAGGAGACCCGCGTGAGGGCAGGGCCCAGGGGTCTCCTGTCCCTTCTCTGAGTCCAGTGGGGTGTGTCATGCCCTATGCTGCCCCTGAGTTGTCTGCTCACCCTGCCCTGGTGTGTCCAGAGGTTCTCTTAGGAATGGGCATTGTGCATCATCACTTCAAGCTGGCCCAAGGACCTGTGGCCTGTGCCTCGGACCTCCTACTTGGGCTTTGTGAGAGTCCTGCACAGGCCCATATGGACATGCTGCATCTGTTCCTGGTGCTCCAGGTTGAAGACCTTTGTCCTCTCAAATGTGTGGGTGATGGGTACCCATGGTGTCTTTAACTGGTGTCACCCCAGCAATGTCCCAGCAGGGACACAGCTCTGTGAAGTCCCAGTGCCCTAGTGTGCACTTACTCTTGGCCAAATCAAATATTGATATTGAAGTCTCACCACTCCCTCTTTGAGTCCTTGTAACTGAGTATTGTGGGTAGAGTGACCAGGAGAGCCTGATAGTCCCTTCAGGACTTGTTCTGTGGATGTCCTCAGCTGACTGTGTCTGGTTCCCTGTGTTTCATCCTCTCCTTCCGGGTGGTGCAGCTCGTTCTCTGCACTGCTCTGCCATCACTGAGGACAGTGGGTACCTGCCCTGCACAGCAAGGTCTGTGTTGGTATCCCTCAGCCTTAGAGCCCACACACGTGAATGTGGGCTCCCTGTTTAATTTTGAAAGGGATGTGTTGATTCAGAATAAGAGTTTGGAGTTTATTTACAACTGTGGCCCAGGTAGTTCTTTGTGGTGGGCAAGGATGGAAAGAACATGGCTCCCCATGTGGTGGGGAGGGCCGTTGCTAGATTTGCTTAGCTAGGTTGTTCTTTGTAAGTCATGGCCAAAGTCTGGCTCAAGCATAAAGCACTACAAAAGCTGGAACCCATGAAAGGAGCTCCTCGTCCACTGGGTGCTCCTCCAACCCTGGCACCTATCCTGTGTCCTGGTTTCTGTCTGCCATGGGCTCCTGGCCTCTGCTCACCCCCAGGCCCCAGGCGCTCAGCCTCTACTCACCCCTAGGCCCTGAGCTCTCAGCCTCTGCTCTCTCCCAGACCCTGGATGCTCAGCCTCTGCTCTCCCCCAGGCCCTGAGCTCTTGGCCTCTGCTCTCCCCTGGGCCCTGGACACTCGGCCTCTGCTCTCCCCCAGACCCCAGGCGCTTGGCCTCACTCTTCCTCGGGCCCTGGGTACTTGGCCTCCACTCTCCCCCAGTCCCTGAGCTCTCGGCCTCCCCTCTCCCCCAGGCCCTGGGCTGCATCCTGTACCTGCTGTGCTTCCAGCAACACCCTTTTGAGGATGGAGCGAAACTCCGAATTGTCAACGGGAAGTATGTGATTCCTCTGACTGACACCCGGTACACCGTCTTCCATGACCTCATCCGTAAGTCCCCATGGTGGACGCTTAGGGCAGGAGCCAGGGCCACTACCCTGTTAGGCTGTGGGCACTGCTCACTGGCTGGCACTCCCCTGTCTCCCACCTGTGGCCCTTGTTTTGACACATCCCTGATGGGGCTTTTCTGCAAAGTCTCATCCACTCAATCGTGGGTGAGTCTGCCAGGCTGTGAGTGGCAGTTGGATGATTCTGTTCAGTTCTGTGTTACTCTTCCCTTCCTTATTCCCTTGCTTGCTTTGAAAGAGACGATGTGTGAGTATGTGGCCCCTTAGTTCCCTGTGACCTCTCAGGCACGTGGCACCATCTCTCTGGACCCCAGGGTCACAGTGCCACGTGGGGCCACTCTGTACTGCTGTGCCTCTGCCATAGGTGCCATGCTGAAGGTCAACCCGGAGGAGCGGCTGTCCATCACTGAGGTGGTGCGCCAGCTGCAGGAGATCGCAGCTGCCAGGAACGTGAACCCTAAGTCCCCCATCACAGAGGTGAGGGTGGCACAGCTGAGTAGGGCACTGGGCCCCAGGGCTGCCTGTGATCGGCCCACACATACTTTACTATGGAGTCTTGCAGCCCCAGAATTCAGGTCTAGTGTTGGGGCGGGGCTCTGGGTTAGTGGTTGCAGAGGCTTAGGCAGGGCATAGGAGCCCTGAGGTCGCTCCACAGGTGCCTTTCTGTTGGTTTTTCCCTGGATTTGGGCAGAGCATGAGTCGTCCCTGTGTCTTGCAGCCTGAGGTCAGTGTCCCATGTGTCTCACTGGGTTTCCTGCTTCAGGTCTTGGGGCTCAGCCTGGGTAGGGTCTATTTTCAGCCTCCCCTGGCTACTGACGGCTTTCAGGGCTTGTAGGCGTGCTAGGCTGAGACCCCATGTGGCCATGCGCTTATGGAGAGCAGTTAGGCCAAGCAGGCACCAGCACAGGGCAGCTAGAAGTTGCCCTCTAGGCCTTTCCAACTCCCAGGGGTGGGCAGATGGTCACCTGCACCAGGTTCTGTGATCAGAGCAGACTTGAGATCTGGTCCCCCACCACAGGGAGCAGGTGGGGTCTCTGGCATCTTTGGGGCCCCCACCACTTATGCACACCGCTCAAATCAGGACTTGTGGGGCCCCGCCTCCCTGGCACTGCCCATCTCCCTGGTGGGTGAAGCTCTCCGGTCTTGCTCTGTGACCCAGACTCTTGGTTCTTGGACTGCAGGTACTTTGAGCTGCTGGGCCCTTTTCCTCCATCATGGCTGACACAAGACTTCTCAGGGCCCTTTGTGGGGCTAGTCATGAGGGGCCAGCCCTGCTGTTGCCTGGGTAGACATAAAGCCCAAGAAGGAAACATCACAGTTGCCGTCCTGAGTTCTTGTCTGTGGACAGGGGCCCTGAGATAGGAGATGGATGTGGGAGTGGCTGGTCTGCGATTCCCATGGGGGCAGCAGTGCATGTACAGCCCAGGGGCCTGGGGGTTTCAGGGGCAGAGCCTTTGGGGGGGGACGGTTCTTCTGGCGACTGAGATCTATAGGGCTGAGGGGAGTGCCCACCCCGCAAGCTGTGCATGCCAAAGTCCAGGTGTGCTGCGGTTGGGGTGTCCATGTTGTCGCTGGCCTTGTCAGGAAGCTTGTGGGGTCTTTCAGGAGGACGAGGAGGCAGAAGCTACAGGAGCTCTGCTTTCTGTTCTCCTCAGAAGCTTTGGGTAGCAGCAGATGTATGGGGTACTGGGGCAATAGGTGCTGCTGCAGTCACAGGCCTTGTGGATGTTGCCTGAGTGCTCTGCTTTGTGTGCTTGTAGATGAGGACCTAGGGGACGAGCATCAAATCCCTGCCCAGGCCACCCAGCAAGGGCTGAGCATAGGGTGAAGTAAAAACACTATACTGCCAAGGAGGCGGTGAGCTGCTGGGCCCTAGAGCTTGGGCCTGAGATGAGGGAACCTCAGCTCAGGTTGGCGTGTCTGTGTCCACGGGTGAACAGACTGGGGCAGGTGGTGGGAGAGCATGAGCAGTCTCTGGGTCTGAGGGTCAGATCAGACATAGGGTGCCAAGAAGCAGGCCCGGTTTGTCTGGGTCTCACAGGGCTGCCATGCATGACCCGCCCTGGGTTCAGGTTGTCTGCTCAGACTTTACAGTGGACCAGGTATGGGAGCCAAGTAGGTGCAAGTGGTTTCTCTGTGGCCTGAGAAGGTGGGAATTGTCACTCTGACTCTTGCCAAGGTCAATTCAGGAACCAACTCTTGTATCTTTCAATCATTGCAGCTCCTTGAGCAGAACGGAGGCCATGGAAATGCTGTTCCATCCCGAGGGCCCCTTCCTGGAGGCCCTGCCAGCAGTGGCTACAGTCCAGGTAGTATGTTGGCCCTAGAACACTGCTGTCCTGCTCTATGAGGCTGGCAGCCTGGCCAGGATGCTAAGAGCTCAGCACTCAGGACACAGCCTTGAGAGGTGCCGGCTAACGGTGCACCAAGATCTTCCTGATTTCATCTCCCCCCCTCCCCCATCTCCTCATCCCTGTCACTATTTGGGAATGTGGAGGGACTTGACTGGGCCCTTGGGTTGTTTCCTGGGCCCAGCCTCTGTGGTCGCCGGCTGAGCCCTGGCACAAGCAGTTGGCCGATGGGGCTCCACTGGCTACCTGGAGAGGCTCTCAAGGGGCCGAGTTCCTCTTAGGCCATACCCGCCATGGCTGGCTGAGACCATCTCTCCCTACAGGCCTGGCTCTGGTAGAATATGACCAGTCCTACAGCGGCTTCCTGGACATCTTGCGGGGTGGTACCGAGCGGCTATTCACCAACATCAAGGACACGTCCTCCAAGGTCATACAGTCAGTTGCTAAGTAAGTGTGAGGCACGTAGGCCATGTTTTCTGGGCTCATCTGGGTATAGCCCAGACCCCCAGCCCTACTTCTTGTCTGCTGTGGAAAAGCCACACAGGAGCCCCAAAGCCCCCTATAGGATTTGCATTCCTGTTATTCTGAGGTGCTGAGTGCATCCACTGCCCCTGTGCTGCTGGGTGATGCCCTTCTGTCAGCCGCATTGTGGGGCCCTACTGTACAGAGGCCTGGGGACCCACATGGCACACCCAGTTTTTTTGAGTCTTGCTGTGGTGACGCCCTCATGGGGCTCTCTCCTCTCTGTGGTGTGCAGTGAGCGTGGCAGCATCTCCCCGCGGGGTCACCCCAGTCCAACTGCTCATTGCCCAGACTTCCCTGCGGTGGGCATGAGTGTGGACACACTGTGGGTGCCTGTCCCAGAAGAGTGCATGTGTGTGCAGGGTTCCTGTGGCACCCTCTGCTCATGGACCACGGTGGAATGTGCCAGAACATAGTCTCTCTGTCACTGAGGGCAGCTGAGCACCTGGGGAGCCTGGTGCTCTTGCCACTCAGGCTTGAGGGTGTCTGTGGGTTGTTCCTTCTGCCCCAGTCAGTATTGCCCACCTCTGTCCTTTCTTTGTGCTGTGGTCCTCGCTTTATTTCTACAGACATTCACAGCACCAGGCAGGTGTATGTGTGTCTGTGTTTCTGAAAGTATGTGCTTGCGTCTAAGGGCAAGTATGTGTTCACAAGTGTGAATGCATACATGAACACGTGTGAGCATACTGTGAACATGTGTGAGTGCACAGTGAACATGTTTGAGCACATGGTGAACGTATGCAAGCACACCTGTGAACACTTGTGAGCCCATGGTGAACACGTGTGAGCATACCTGTGAACATGTGTGCTGCACCATGTGCTTTGTCCTTGATATGACCTTTTGCGACAAGAAACTTGGACACATTCTGTGTGTGTCCTGGGCAGGGTGTTGGATGTAGCTGAGCCCCTCCTGCTGACATCATAGTGGCAGGGAAGTTCCCAAGCAGCACCTGGGTCCAGGGCCTGGCCCTCCATCTGCTAGGTGGGGTTGTGGCTTCTGCAGGGTCCTGGCTCTGGTGGCATGTGCCATGGGGTGCTCTGTACATGCTTTAGGGTGCCCTTCTCCCCACCAGCTGGAGCCATGGTTGGCATGAGCCTCGAGGGCAGGTCAGGGGTCTGCTGGCTGCAGAGCCGTGTCTAAGGCCAGGTGTTGGCCAAGCTTTCTTGGCCACTGTCCAGTGTGTCTTCCTCTTGGTCCCCATGCCCACTGCCTGAATATGGCATCCCTCTGGGAAGGTCACATGGTTCCATGTGGTGTTCTTATGGGTTCAAGACTGGGGACGTCTCCGTAGGAGTTGCAGCCCCCCAAATGGCAGTGAACAGATGATTACTGTGTTGGGTGGGCATGGAGCAGCTGCCTAACTCACTCTGAAAAATGAAAGGGACATTAAGCCTTGACCCAGATAACCATTTCTTAGTGGTCGGGTGGGCAGCAGGAGAGCAGAGCCCTCAGCAATGCAGTGTCTAGGGCTGGTGGCTGAGAGCGGTGGAGATGGGTAAAGCTGTGTTCATGTTTGTGTTCTCATAGGCAGTGCTTTGGGTGAGCAAACAAACATAAGTAACGGCTTACAGAATCTGATTTCAAAACTTTTACTCTGGAAATATAGAAACATCTTATATGATGTGAAAATAAAATTAGTTTTAAAATGGGTATTCACTTAAAGGAACCAGGGCTGGAGGAAACCCAGAAGGGTGAGAAACTGACTGTTCAGTGTCCAGATTGGAGTAGGGAGGGCAGGGAGGGAGGAGACGCACATCAGAGATCCCCTACACCCCCCCAGGTTGGGTGATTGGCCAGAAGGACTTGGTGTCACAGCCATAGTCTGCTCCAGAGCGAGGATACAGCACAGGCAGCAGCAGAAATAGGCATGTGGGGTACATGCAAGGTGCCACTTGTAGCTTCAGGGTCCTCCCTGGATGCCCCAGTTATATGTAGCTCCCCAGTTGGGGGGGGGGTGTGCCATCGCAGGGGACCTGGGCTCTTATGGGAGGGGCATAGGGTGCTCTGCCATCTCCACCCAGGGAGGACCAACGAGGTAGACCCATCTGTTCTGGGGGTGGTGGGAACCTCCCCAAATCCGGGCCCAGGGTTAACCTTGCATATGATCTGCCTCTGAGCCACATGCTTCAGGTGGCCAAGGTGTGTACATACATGCTGCCTTGGGAGCAGGGAGCTCACAGTGTCTGGGGCTGGCACTGGGCTCCCTGTTACCTGTGCTGCTCTGGGGTAAGGAAGCCAGGCCTGGAGGCCTGAGCGACACCCACCCCCAGGTGTGGGTCTAGCATGTTTGTTCTGCTTGCACACATGTTGGGAGCCCCCAGGCCAGGCTCAACAGGGGCCCTCCTCCCTTGCGCATCTTCCAGGAACTTACCTATAATCATCGTTTGCTCTTTTTACTCCTGGGCTTTTAGCTTTGTTTTTTTACTGATATTTAGATGACACTAAATACTAATTTTTCTTATGGAAAAAATACAGCAAGTACTTTGTACTGGAGTATTATTCCCCCCCCCCTTTTTTCTCTTTGCAGTTTTGGCCAGGGGTGGGTTTGAACCCGATACCTCCGGCATATGGGGCTGGCACCCCACCCTCCTTTGAGCCACATGCACCACCCTTTTTTTTTTTTTTTTTAAGTTATTTATTTATTTTATTTTTGTTGTTGCAGTTTGGCCGCAGCTGGGTTTGAACTCACCACCTTTGGTATATGGGGCTGACACCCTACTCACTGT